CGTGTAAATTAGATTAGACAACATTCAATTGTCCCGGCCTCCTGTCTTGCCTGCCATCACAAAGTGCAAAGCCGAGCTATAGGCCATTGTAAATTTGATTGATGGAAGAGTGACAAATGTTCAATGTCTGGAGTTTGGGGATTACAGAAGCATAAAAAGYACTCTTAAATTAGATTTCCAATTGCATTTGTAAATTGCAAGAMTGATTGCCTATGCAACAGGTCCTTTGGGGGGTGGGGTTGGGGTCACGACAAATCAAAGATCTTGTGTCAAGCGTCAACAACCTTAGGTACATGTTTCTTTTAATATGGTCGCACGGCGTCACATCATGTGACCATAATCCTACTTCACTGTGTATAAACCTAATTAATATAATGGCAAACCCTATGGCAGGCTTCAGTAGATTCTAGGATTTAACATACAAAATATAATAGTGTAATGTCTCTTTAGGTTGACAGTGGCAGATCAATACATCTACTCCTTCTGCAACAGTCCAATATCAATATACCCTCTTAATATTGGCCATGGGAATAAAATAAGATCCAACAGCTCATAATCTGTAACTCATTTAAAGGCGGCAGCCAGAGAGGAATTCTGGYATTACTCTTCKCCCCGCCTAATGTACAAGCAATTTGCATGACTTAAAACAGAATCAAATATAAGCTGCTAGGGATTTCTTCACTTGTTTACTAGAATTACTGTATTTTTTGTTTTGGTGGTTGGTTGTTGTTTTTGGTTCTGACCTTAGCGGCATTCCCATACTTTGGCTGTCATATCTACACTACCAGTGATGACAAATGGAGCAGACTTGTGGAAATCTGTTGGAAGAAAATTTCACAAAATTCAAAATCGATATATTATCTGATTTTACATATCTACACTTTCACCCCTTCCCACCTTTTGATAATTTTGTCCCTGTGTTTAAATTAGAAACACAATATTGCACGTGATTCCAGAAAACATCCATACCCACCATGAAGGAAATCGGAAATTCCCAGGAGGTGAGGGGTCAGAGAAAATTTTTTTTACAAGGTTTGTATGAAAGAAAATTGGAAATTCCATAGGGGTGGTGGGGACCGTTTTCCAAATTTCCTCTATTGTTGGGTATGGAAATTTTCTGAAACCACACATTGGATATTCTCCATTGGCCTGGAGAAATATTGTCACCTGTTGCAGATAAACCTAGTGTACAGAGCACAAGTGAAGAAGAGAGTGTTAGGGGAGGGGTGTGTAGGATGCATATGGCTGCACTTACCTATACAAGTCACAAAATGGTCATGAGCCAGCAGCGTTTTTGCACATCTCTTGTTTTTATAATCCCAAATCCTAAGTGTTTTATCATCAGAACAGCTAATTATGTACTTTCCTCCTGGATGGAACATTACGCCTCGTACCCAATTATCATGTCCAACCTACGAAAGAAAAACAAAACAATAGCCATCAACATTGTAATCATGCACTTGTATAGACCTGTTTAGCTCGGGTGTAATGTCATCCCATTTCAGACTATGTATTTATTTATTTATTTATTTGAAGATTTGCCAGAGGCAGGTAATTTACAATAGAACACTAAGTCCCCTACGAGGTAAATCACCCAACTTCAGAGGCATAGACTTAACTGAATGACTTAACTGACATTTTATTGTGCAAAGGGCCTATTTTCACTTGTGTCCCATGGCTGTCAGTAAATTAGTCTCAGTTAGTTATCCCTGTTTGATACCTACCAAAGTTAGGAGACAGACACCTGAGCTAACATCCCATATCTTGATTGACTTGTCTCTAGATCCTGATACTAAGAAAGGACCAGGACTGCCACCTTTTTTGCCTCCCTAAAACAGAAAATGATAAAGATATGAAAAAAAATAACGCTAGACCTTAACGTTTTTTCAATTTTAATTTTTTTCAAGAGCTTTTCAAGTGCTCTTGAATTTGTATCATAAATTCAAGGACTTTTCAAGGACTTCAAGGACCTGCATAAACCCTGCTTCAGGTTTCCCGTTTTTCCTCCCTCCACAAAAATCAACTTCTTTATTCTAATTGGAATTCAGTGGATAAAGAGCAACTGCAGAAAAACCACTAATAAATCCCATTCATTCATTTTTTCACAACAGGAGATTAAATCAGAGTTTAAGAGAGAATTCTTTTTGTATTCAAGTGGTGAGC